AGACCAAAAAAAAAAAAAAAAGTGATAAAGTACAGGTAGTCCTCGACTGTCAACAGTTTGCTTAGTGACTGTTCGAAATTACAATGGCACTGAAAAAAGTGCCCGCCAAGCCACAGCCGAGCAAGACACTTGCTTGCCCGCCCGGCCACGCTCTTCCTCCTGTCCGAGGTTTTCATTGTTGTGAGCATTTCTGTTGAGTATTGGCAGCGGGGTGTGTGTGTTTGGTTTTTATTCCCCCCCATCTGCTGGGTGGTTGCAGCAGGTTTTGGTCCCTTCACATGACCCTGGGACACTGTGACCATCATAAATATGAATCAGTTGCCCAGCATCTGAATGTAAATCACAAGACCCTGGAGATGCTGCAACATTCCAGCTGATTGGCGCTTCTTCTGGGCTCAGCAGAAGTGTCAGGATCAGTGCTGTTTTCCAGCTGATTGGCGCTTCTTCAGGGCTCAGCGGAAGCACCAGGATCAGCACCGAGATCCAGCTGGATCCTGGCGCTGATCCTGGCACTTCCGCTGAGCCCTGACAGCCCTGCAGCTCCAGCCGTCTCTCGCTCAGGCTTGTGCGGTGCTGCCACCGGTTCAGCTCATTCCCCTCCCCCACTACCACTTTTCTAGGATGGTTGCATACCACCTGCCAGGTGCCAATGTACCACAGGTGGTACCCGTACCACTGGTTGAAAAGCCCTGTATTACAGGACATCAATTTATGGAGGCTTTAACTAGGCCCTTTTCCTTCTTCTGGGGAATGTGCTTATCATGTTTTTCTTGCAAAGTTGAGGCAGGCTGAATCTGAGTTACCTCCTCTCTCTGTTGCAGGTTAACTTAAAGAAGACCGCAAACAGTTCGTTGAAAAGACTCCCGGAGAAAGGCGCCAAAACGGGATCCGTGAAGAAAGAAAAAGTAGTCAAGAAGGAAGAAGGTACAGGTTGTTATCCAAAAACGCAAATTTCACTTCTACCCACCTTGTTGTGCGTGCAGGTATTCTGTTAACAATTCAGTAGGTTCCGGATGATCTTAGTGGATCTGAGCTCAGACTAGATCTTGCCTTCTTTCTTTTACCCACAAAGACTAGTGCTAATTTTTGAAGCAGCGTGCTTCCTCGGTCTCCAAAATGAGCACAGTAATCTAAGCAAGAGTTTAGAATAGTTTAAGTCCGTGTTTCTCAACCTTGGCAACTTTACGATGTGTGGACTTCAACTCCCAGAATTCTGGAGAATTTTGGGAGTTGAAGTCCACACATTGTAAAGTTGCCAAGGTTGAGAAACACTGGTTTAAGTCATGTGTAGGAAAATTTAACCAGGGTTTAATCCTAGCCTGTTTACAGATTTTGGTTGGCTACATTTGAATGCTGTCTGTGTGTATAAAGCATTTTCAGGGAACTTCGTACACGTAGTCCTCGAGTTACGAGTGGAATGGAGCCTGCACATTCCACTCGTAACTCCGAAACTCGTAGAGAGAATCTCGTGCCTCGAACGAGATCGCTCCCTTGCTCGTTAAAACGCTTGTGGCTCAAGTGCACATGAGGTATCTGAAGGTGGGGAAGGCCATGGGGGGCCTAGTGATGGAACAGGCCCCCAAGGCCTCCCCGACCGACTAAGATACCTCATGCTTCCCCCTCGCTTCTTGCCGCACCGGACTCACTCACCTTGAAAAGATCCGTCTCCTCTCTGCCGCGGTTCCTGCTTTTGAGGGACAGGAGAGTCGATGGAAGCCCCTGGGTGCCGTAATATCGCGAGAGTTCAGGCACTGATCCTCTTTCGCAGAGAATGGGTGCCTGAATTCTCGCGCTCTTTGCGGTGCCTGCCTCCTGCTTCCCCCCAACTCCGGAGCCACGTGGCCGCTGCCCCCGGAACGGAGATCGGGGGGGGGGGCTTCTGCATGCCTCTGGAGGTTGGATCCAGGCCTCGGAGGGGTCTTACAAACCATTTGCACCAGGAACGGAGGCCGGGGGGGGGGCTTCTGAATGCCTCCGGACATTGGACCCAGCCCTCAGAGGACTGCTCCAAGCTGTTTGCGCCCAGAAAAGAGCTTCCAGAGATTGGATCCAAGCCTCGGAGGCATGCAGAAGCCTCCACGTGATCAAATTTCTGGTGCCTGGCAACCCGCATTGTACTTACGACGGTTGCATTGTCCCGGGGGTCCTCAAATCACCCCTTGGCGACCTTCCCAGCTGACTTTCAACAAGCAGAATCGATGGGAGAAGCCAGCTTTGCTTAACGACCACCCGGTTCCGCTAACAGCTGCAGTGACTGCTTAAACAACTGTGGCAAAAAGGGTTGCAAAATGGAACACTTAGCAACCGCCTTGCTTAAAAGTGGAAATCTTTTTTTTTTTTTTTTTTTTCAATAT